AAAAACCACATCTTCTTTATCCAGTTTCCAGTTGATGGACACTTGGGCTGTTTCCAAACTTTAGCTATTACAAACTGTGCCACTATAAACATAGGTGCACATATATCACTGTGGTATGATTCTTTTAATTCTTTTGGGAAGATACCCAGCAGTAGAATAGCTGGGTCAAATGAGACTTCTAGTCCTAGTTCTTTGAGGTATCATCTCCAATCAACTTATTTTTAAAGTGCATTGTTTGAGTTCATTAAACATTGAACTTATTAAGTGGACTCAATTGTTTCCTTTAAGCTCTGAATCAAGCCTTCTTCCACTTGTGGGAGGCTCTATTTGCCAAGTGAGTGTAGGTTCCCATCCAGGCCTCTAGGGCTTAAACCTCACAACATTCCCAGGAATTAGTCATACTCCAGAGAAAGTATGCTTCACACGGGACAATTGAGAAGTGAGAAAAGATCATCTGCTGATAGTGCATCAGGTGTTCAGAGCAAGAAGCCCTGACCCCAGAGCACCAGCTGCAAAGAGCCACATCATCTCAGACAGGCAAACTGGAGTCTTCTCTAGCTAATCTCCAAACAGGAACATTGTCTCCCTCCGAAGAGTAGGACCCACAGTCCTGTCTGTTATCACCCCATTAGCCCCCTCCCTCATCTGTCTCTCCACTGTCCTTCTCTTCTCCACTGTCAATCACAAGGCTGAGAATTCAAATGTAGCTCCTCCTCAGGTCAAGAGTAAGGATCTCTGTTGTGGCTTATATCTAGATGTTCCCTCAAAGTCTCATGTTCCCATAGGTGGGGCTTTGGGAGGGGACTGGACCATGGGTGTGTGATACTAGACTAGTCTACTGATTGGTTTAGCACAGTTCTGGATGTGGGGGGACTTCCTGAAGAGGGAAGACTGTGCTCTGGGTGTGGGTAGCACTAACAAATAGGCTTGTAGCCTGATGGAATGAAAAGGGAAAGAAGAAGCAAGGCTTGCTGCTTTTTGTCTGCCATGCCATGGACTGTTTTTCCTCTGCCATGCTGCCCTGCTTTGGAGCCAGCTGAATATATACTGAAACCTCTACAAACTGTGAATTAAGATAAATCCTTCTTCCTTTAACTTGTGTATGTTGGGTATTTTGTCCCATGATTGATAAAAGTAACTAAGACAATCTCATTGGCAGTCTAAAACATCCATGGAAAATAATTCTGTTCTTGAAACTTTCCAGAAAATCATTCATGTATTATTTCATTCAACAATTCATAATTCAGTTTAACCCAGCTATTCCCCTTCTAGGTGTCTTCCCAAAAGAG